ATCGAGTCACTCTTATAATTATCCTCATCTGAAGCAACCATAATTTGAAAATAGTTAACTTTGATCCCCCTCTCAAGACAATTCTTCTTGAGGTGGCCACATTTATGACGAATGAAACACTTGTGCTTCAACTTGTCAAACACTATGGACTTTGACTTATTTATACCTATATTTCTTCACATTTTGGATTTCCTTAGTCTTACTCACCATATTAAAACATTCAAGCTTTCTTCATTGTCATCAGCATTTAACTCTTTCATCTTAGTTAACTCTCTAATTACTATAGTCGATTGGACCACCTCTAAGATATTTCCTTTCTTATCATAAAAGAAACAAATCCTTGAAATGCTCAAAATATTTAGGTAATGAGCTCAACAAGAGTAGATACATGTCCTTATCATCAAGTTTCACCTTAATACTTTTGTGAAATTAATTCAATTTGTTCCACAATGATTTATTCTCTACTATCAAAAGTGAGTATGATTGTTGTTTTATACAAAACCCATGAGACAAGAACTTGGTCATATACAATGATTCAAGCTTGAAAACATCTTTGTAGTGGTTTTCTCTCTTTCGACTTCCCTCAAAACTTTATCTATAAAGTACAAGATAATGACACTCCTAGACATATCTACCATCTGGGTCTTTCTCATTTGCGTTAGGCTTAACAATATAAATGTCTCGTCTTTCAATGCTTTTGAGTTTTTTTTTCTTAAATCAATATTGTTGACATCTTTACTTTCTAAACACTTAATTTTACACTCAGTGAGTTTTACGAAGATGCATCTTTAGACAGGTATTAATTCATATACCTCGCGCGCAGAACCTTCCTCATTTCTTCTCCATATGTTAAATTTTCACAAACCCTTTTGTAAGAACTTTGAGCAAAATTCAAGTGTGCTATTTTTCAAGTTTTAACGCTGCTTCAATTACATCGAAATCAATCACAGTTGATTTCATTCAAGCTTTCGCACAACAACTCTCAATCAATAAGTTTCTCATTTTCTTTCTATTTTTGAGTTATGTATGTATTAGATAAAATAAGTTGTTTAAAATGCATTAGTTAGTAGTTACATTCAAAATAAATATTTTATTTAGACCTGAACTAGATTTAGACCTATACAACCTAGTCCACTACACAAGACCTTAAAATTTAGATAGCGATGTAAAAGTCTCATGTTCTTAAATTACTGGCCACATTTTTTTTAATTTGCAAAAGCTAAATGCATGGGCAGTGGACACATTTTGATAATTTCTTTTTAATTTAAAAAAGTTAAATGTATGGCCACATTTTGATTTTATATATATATATATATATATATATATATATATATATATATATATATATATATATATATATATATATATATATATATATATATATATATATATATATATATATATATATATATATATATATATATATATATATATATATATATATAGAGAGAGAGAGAGAGAGAGAGAGAGAGAGAAAGAGAGAGAGAGAGAGAGAAAGAGAGAGAGAGAGTAAATGTATTTTTTTAGTATTTTACAAAAATTACTTATGAAGATTTGAATTGATACACTAAAAGAGAAATGTACCAACATTTTGATAATATTTTTTATTTATAAAATTTAAATGCATTAATTTCATTTTATTATTTTGCAAAAATTATTTTCAAAGTTTTAAATTGATGCACCAAAAGTATAAATGTATTATTAGGATTTGAATCTCTCCTTTTTTATATATCATGTCATCTCTCATGTTTCTAATCTAACGGTTCAAAATTTATAATGAATAATTAAATAAAAAAGTTATTTATGGTTGTTAATTTTGTGGAGGAACAAAGACAAATTACTTATCAATTTATCTCTCTTATTAAATGACTTTTTTTATTTAATTATTCATTATAAATTTTGAACCGTTAGATTAGAAATATGAGAGATGACATGATATATAAAAAAGAAGAGAATTAAAATCCGTATTATTACTCCAACCAAAATTTAAATAATAAAATAAAATATTTATAATCGATTGAAATTTATAATACACTTTTAAGTTAAACTTTGTTTTTGATGACTATTTGTTGTAACTCTTAAATTTTATTTCACTTTTTTTATAAATTTTAGATACTATTTATATGTCATAATTAAACGTTAAAAGTTTGTCTTACTAAACTCATTTATTATTAAATTTTTATGATAAAATATAATTCATTTTTATTTGTGGAAATAGAATCCCTGAGTGTTTTTTTTAAACAGCAAGTATTGTGAATTTTTTAATTAAAATTCAAACAGCAAGTGATTAATATTATTTTTAATTAAGTTATCATGATTCAATAAATAATTAAAAAAGATGTATATGAATTTTTTGGATGATAAATGTTCTAGTGTGTGGTGGGTATGAGAAAAACTGACGTGTAAACTTACTTGACTCATGTTTATCTACCTGTGGGATTCAGGACTAAAGATTTTGCATTGCAATAGATAATACTCAAAGCCTCTACATGTTAAGTGGTTAAACATGAGAAATTTTATTATGACAATCTACATGTCTTTATACCATTTGCATTTGTCACTTTTAGTTTCTTAGCGCCAGAGGTTGTATATCTTTTACAAAAAGTCTAGAGGCTCATGAATAACAATGTTTTGCTCCTTATGACTATGAACATTGTTTTTAAGAGGATTGATTTTGAAATTCAAAAAGTCTAGATGCTCATGGATAACAATGTTTTGCTCCTTATGACTATGGACATTATTTTTAAGAGATTTGATTTTGAAATCCAAAAAGTCTAGAGGCTCATGGATAACAATGTTTTGCTCCTTATGACTATGGACGTTGTCTCATGCCTTGTACATCTTCAGAGTAAAGGAAAATTACTAACCATTCTTGGATAAACAAATAAGAGGCAGTTGAGCTGATGGTAAACTATTTCAAAGCTGGTCCAGGTGCGTTCCAACGGGAGCTTGATGTCACGAGAGGTGCTCATGCCCGATTTGCATACCTGGATGACCTGTATAAATACCAACTGGTTGCGACAGTGGAGACCGAAGGTGATGAAGGGCATGTTTTACTCCACAGGCAATGTGCATTGAGGTCATACTTCCTATACTTGGTTGACACAACAATATTTATGAAAAACTGCAACATATTTCGATGTTATCTACTTGACATACTTCATCTACTTAGATCGGATCCACGAGTACAACTGGGGGGACGCGTGTTTAGTTTATCTATACTCCAAACTAGGTGAAATTGCATTTTGAAGACAATACATATGACAGGAAGATTCACACTGTTTACAATAATATATTTGCAACCTTTAATGTTACTAATATTTTCATAATATTTGTGTTACACTTATTACTAATATTTTATCTGAACCATTTTCAGGCGTGGATCATCACTCACTTTTTTCGCATATCCGGCTGGTAATCTGTCATGGGCTACACTGAGGATTGGTCACGTGCTTGCGCCTTTTTCCCATACAGAGGGATTCAAGCGATATTGTTGTTTTCGGTGTTTATTGACCGTATTATAGTAGATGAAATGTATGTTCCGTACAAAGGCCATCGTCAGACGTGTCCCTTGAACGACATAATCTTCTACTATGTATGGTTTGCTTGTGAGTTGCCTTTTACTATATATGGTTGACTTGTGGGTCACACCTGATATATCCACATCTGCTTGAGTGGGTCATGCACCAATTCAGATTTCTTCATATTATTCAAAGACATTCCTCCGTGTCTGCTACTCCGGCAGTCCACCATATAGATCTTAATGCGTACTCAATAATTTCTATAGTCATTTGATACTAGATAAGGCACACAATGTGCCAACAAGTAAACCATGGGCTTATGCACAAGGCTACATCAATTAGTTATATTGAGTGTCACATCCTTACATGTCATTAGATACCGCAGGAGCACCACGTAGACCCGCTCATCCGAAGATTTTAGAAGAGGATTGAGCTATAGATGACGACACAATAGACCTGTTATCGGTCTGCCATTACATTGTGATGATTGTGAGAGATGCCATAAAAATAAGAGACACTGCAAAAGGCAGTCCTGGTATGGCCGCCTTACATACCATCTTACTCGAGGCACATAATGCCTTGGGGTACATGCGGTTGTAGAGGAGAAGCAGGGGTTTAGAAACATACATTAGTTTATTTTTATTTGTATTTTTGTAACAATTTTATATTTTTTTTTGAACAACTTAGGTATTATAGTAACATTTATGACTACTTAATTAATGTTTGGATTTGAATTTATATATGACATGTTTGAATTACATGAGTATAATTAGTATGATGTAATTATATCGTTAGTGTAAATGACCTAAAAAAAATAAAATTTTGAGATACTTGCTATCAAATGTTAATAACTTTCAAATGCTTTCAAAGGTTATTCTGGAGATGCGTCTACGGAATCATCACTAAAAATTTACGGAGATGCATCTTTGATCCATATTTTAACAAATTTGAGGTGGAAGGTTCATTTGTGAAACACAAAATATTTTCAGGAACTAATCCGAAGATGTATCTCCGTAATTGTTTAAAGGATTTTGTAGATACATCTTCGAACCAATTTTTAACGGATATGAGATGGATGACTCACTTATAAAATATTATTTATATTTTAAATACGTTCAAAAATATATATTCAAAATAAAAAAAAAACAAATTTAAATTTTTAATTTGTTGAACCCTCACCTCTGTGGCATCAAGTGGATAAAGTAATTGTCTAAATATTGAAAGAAGTCTAGAGAAAAAAAAAACCCAAAATTAGCCCTTTCTAAAGTGTATTCAATTTCTAATACATTGAAGTAAATTGACAATTTATTCGGTAAAATATTTTTGTAGAAAACTAACCTATCTAATACATTGAAATAAAAACATACACACATTTTGTTAACAAAAAAAACACATTTGTGCGAGTTTGAGTTTTGGCCCTTACACACACTGCACATTCTCTTGAGCAGCCACCACCAACATCGTCAATCTGGTTCCCCCATGCCGAGTCTCAGAATGAGGAACTTCCTGTCCCGTATCAAAACCAGAAGAACAAAGAAAACCATCCGAAAAAACCGAAACAAAAACGCTCACAAACTCAGACACCAGAGCTGCATTTCTTCCATTACCAATAATTCCCCATCTCTCATAGAAGATGAAGACACAGAAGAAGGTTTCAGCATCAAAAGTTCTGCCCCATCACACACTCACGGTGTTCAGCCCTTAGGCAATCTCTATTTCAGTCCTGGTTCCATCAACTCCAGAGACACTGGTTTAGGTAATCTTCATACCCTAACTGATGAACTTGTTCTTGACATTCTAGGGTTTTTGGATGGTACCAGCTTAGGTGTTTTGGCTTCTGTTAGCAAATCATTTTATGTTTTCACTAATCATGAACCCCTTTGGAGGAATCTTGTTTTGGAGAATCTTATTGATGGGTTTCAGTATAATGGGTCATGGAAAACTACTTTTGTTTCTTCTTGTTACCCTTTATTTGATGGTTCATGTAGTGCTCTTAGGGGTTTCGAAGTTAGAGACTTTTATTCTGATTATCTTTTCCAGAGTTGGTTGTGTGCGAATCTTGAAATGAAACCTGAATGGTTGGAGAGGGATAATATTGTCCGAAAGAGAGGCATTTCGGTTGAAGAGTTTGTGATGAATTTCGAGGAGGTTAATAAGCCGGTGTTGTTGGAAGGGTGTATTGATAATTGGGATGCGTTGAGGAAATGGGATAGAGAGTATTTGATGAAGTTATGTGGTGATGATGTTAAGTTTGCAGTTGGGCCTGTGGAGATGACACTCGGAGAGTATTTTGGATATTCAGATCAAGTTAGAGAAGAACGGCCGCTGTATCTGTTTGATCCGAAATTTGCTGAAAAAGTTCCGACATTGGGTTCTGAGTATGAAGTTCCGGTGTATTTTCAGGAGGACTTGTTTGGTGTTTTGGGCAACGAGAGGCCTGACTACAGGTGGATTATTATCGGACCAGCTGGGTCTGGATCGTCTTTCCACGTTGATCCAAACTCAACCTCAGCTTGGAATGCTGTGATCAAGGGGTCGAAGAAATGGATACTGTTTCCTCCTGATGTAATTCCGCCTGGTGTTCATCCTAGTCCTGATGGTGCAGAGGTGGCATCTCCTGTTTCAATAATGGAATGGTTCATGAACTTTTACGGCGTAACAAAGAATTGGAAAAAGAAACCAATTGAGTGCATATGTAAAGCCGGGGAAGTCATCTTTGTGCCGAATGGATGGTGGCATTTGGTGATCAACCTGGAGGAATCTATTGCCATAACACAAAACTATGTTAGCAGGTGAGGTTCTCTATCCTAGATCTGCATATTTTGCTTCAGCATTGGATAATTTTAATCTAAAACATTCTATGTATTTGTTGCAGGAGAAATTTGTTAAATGTGTTGGATTTTCTTAAACGGCCGAACGCGAGCATACTGGTATCTGGAACAACGGATCGAGTGAATTTGCATGATAAGTTTAAGAATGCTATTGAGGCTTCTTTTCCTGGAGAAATTGATGAACTGACCCGAAAAGAAGAAGAGAAAAAGACCCAGCAAAGGAAACTTTCCATCTGGGATTCTATTGCAGACTCCAGCGTGGGAGCTTTCAAGTTCTCTTTCTAGAGAAATTCATGCGTAGCAGCGATAACTGACATTGCTGATCCAAATTTCATATAGATTTTAAAAATCAATTTTGATTAGTTTTTTATTGGTTGTATTCAATTTTGACTAGTTTTTAGTTCACTGTACTCTATTTTTAATGTACTATTACAAAAATTACAGAAATCCAGTAGCATATGTAAACTCTACTAAAATCCGTTGTTTTGTTTGCTTCAACGTTATTTACTAGTATTCTTTGCGCATTTTGACAATGTTATCATTTGTCGAGTATATCAAGATATGACGAATGAAATTTCTTAGAATAAACTGTGTCCTGCATGAAAGAAATGAATGAGTATTGATTGGTATATAAACACGAGGCTAAGTGATTACAAGTCTAAAACAAATGCAAACCGGTGTTAGTGAAAAATTCAGCATGTACAAGTTTGAGAATGGAGAAGAGTCATTCTCACATTTACAATATGTGGGTGATACTTTGATCATTTGGGAAAAATGTGGTCAAACATACAGTTAATAAAGAGAAGAGTGATTCTCGCATTTACAATATGCGGATGATACTCTGATCATTTGGGAAAAGTGTGATCAAACGCTCGGTTAATAAAGACAAACTTATTGTTTTTTTTTGCAGCGATGTCATGTTAAGACTATCCAGATGGAATGGTGAGTCTAAGCTTCCCGGTTTACTTTCTCGAATAACCACTGCTCTGCACAAAGAAGGATTGATCGAGTTTTAGATAACAAACACTCTTGTTGTAACATTCAATGATGTTTTCTCGTACATTGTAAAATGAGTACCATTGGTGTTACTAATAACTCAATTCTGCAAAAACTGAAACTCAAGAATCCCAAACTCGTGCTACTATCACAATGCTCCAATATTCACGACCTCAAAATAATCCATGCCCATATGCTAAGAACCCATCTTTTCTTCGACGTTTTTGCATCAAGTCGCATCATTGCTTTCTGCATAGACCACACTGCAAAATTTCTAACTTATGCTATCAAAGTTTTCTCTCAAATTCACAATCCAAATCTCTTCATTTTCAATGCATTGATCCGCGGTTGTTCCATTAGCCAAAACCCTGAAAACTCCTTTCACTATTACATTCAATCACAACGCATTGGTCTCTTACCTGATAACATCACACACCCTTTTTTGGCTAAAGCATGTGCTCAACTTGAGTCTTTAACAATGGGTACACAAGTTCATGGTCAAATAATTAAACATGGTTTTCAATGTGATTTCTATGTTCAACATTCTCTTGTTTATATGTATGCTTCTCTGTGTGATTTAAAGTCTGCAAGATGTGTTTTTAAGAGGATGGGTCGATTTGATGTTGCTTCATGGACTTGTATGATTAAGGGCTATAGTAAATGTGGTGATGTTGAGTCTGCACGTGAACTGTTTGATAGAATGCCTGAGAAGAATTTGGTGACTTGGAGTACTATCATTAGTGGTTATTCGCGGAACGGACGTTTTGATAGAGCGGTTGAAATGTTTGAGATTCTTCAGGCTGAAGGGGTGGTGGCTAATGAGGTTGTTATGGTTGGTGTGATATCTGCTTGTGCTCATTTGGGTGCTCTTGCAATTGGGGAGAAAGCTCATGAGTATGTGATGAGAAATGGTTTGGATTTGAATGTGATTCTTGGGACGGCTGTTGTTGATATGTATGCAAGATGTGGGAATGTTGAGAAAGCTATTTGGGTTTTTGAGGAAATGGAAGAGAAGGATGTACTTTGTTGGACAGGTTTGATTTCTGGATTAGCCATGCATGGTTATGCAGAGAAAGCGCTAAAGTATTTTTATGTAATGGTGAAAACTGGGATAGTTCCTAGAGATATTACATTTACTGCAGTGTTGAAAGCTTGTAGTCATGGAGGGTTGGTAGAAAAGGGTCTAGAAGTATTTGAAAGCATGAAAAGAGATCACGGGGTAGAGCCGAGATTGGAGCATTATGGATGTATGGTTGATCTTCTTGGAAGGGCGGGGAAGTTGGAAGAGGCTGAGAATTTTATTCATGAAATGCCTGTGAAGCCAAATGCTCCAATATGGGGAGCATTGCTAGGAGCTTGCAGGATTCATAGAAATGTCGAAGTTGGAGAAAGGGTGGGAAAGATTTTGATCGAGATGAAACCAGAACACAGTGGTTATTATGTATTGCTATCGAACATATATGCACGCACAAACAAGTGGAAAGATGTTACTGTCATGAGAAGATTGATGAAGGAAAAAGGAGTTAGAAAACCACCTGGATATAGTCTCATTGAGATAGATGGAAAAATTCATGAGTTTACAATTGGAGATAAATCACATCCAGATATAGAAAAAATTGAAAGGATGTGGGAAGATATACTGCAAAAAATAAAGTTAGCAGGATACATAGGAAATACTGGTGAGGCATTGTTTGACATAGATGAAGAGGAGAAAGAAGATTCACTTCACAGGCATAGTGAGAAACTGGCAATTGCTTACGGAATTATGAAGATTCGAGCTCCAACGCCTATTCGGATTGTAAAAAACTTGCGAGTCTGCGAAGATTGTCACACGGCTACGAAGCTAATCTCGAAGGTTTTCAATGTAGAGTTAATTGTTAGAGATAGAAATAGGTTCCATCATTTTACAAAAGGTGTATGTTCTTGTATGGATTACTGGTAAGGGAGCTATGCAACTTCTCGGGGTCTAAAGTTTCAGAAATGGATTGCCGATGGAAGGAAGATATGTGAGACAAGTTATGTGTGTGCTCCATAAATTATTCAAATCAATATAAAATTTTTACAAATAATAACAAACAAATTTTAAGGCAGTGATTTTATACACCTCTTCAATTTTCGTCCAAACGCTCTAGTATATTTTCACACCTTACAAATATTTTTGGTGCGCTTTATTGCACCCTTTGTGTTTTTTAGAGTCCTTAAATTACTCTCCTTGAAAGATAACATCAGGACATATCCATATTTATCCATTGACTTTGATTTTTTTAAAGAAAATTTTTAATGCACTCTATTACTTATGCGTTTGATACACACTCAATACAAGCCATTATGAATAGCGTCCTATAAGTTGAATTTTTTTGACTTAATATCTTTTTTCGTCCTTTATCTTTTGTGTAGGGTTCATTTTAGTCCCTAATTTTAAAAAGGATCATTTTGGTCACTCAGCTTTTCAAATTGGTTCATGTTTATCCTTTCCGTCCAAAACGTTAGTCAAAGTCAATTGAGATGCAAAGCTTGCACACATGTGTATTATTTTTTTATGACATGGTAAAGTTGGCATACACGTGTAATATTTTTTTATGGTTTGTATGTGTTTGCATTTTAGGGTTTGCCATGGATTTAAGGTTTTGCGTACCTGATTCCAAATGTTGTAATTTTTAGGTTTGTTATGGATGAATATGTTCATGTAGTTACACACCATGGGAGTTATTTTGAAGGTGATGATGAGTCAAGTTATGGGGGTTCATTACTGATGTGAAGTGTGATGTTGATAAGTGGAACTATTTTGAGGTGTTAGGGATTGTTAAAGAACTAGGATATGAGGATGTTGAAACAATAATATACAAGGACCCAACGTTTGTTTACTTTGAGTGATGATAAAGGTGCCTTAGAGATAGTTGATTTATGTAAGGTACATAAGGTTGTTCATTTATATGTGAAACATTCATTTTCTCAACCTGATTATTATGATGGACCTATTGAGGATGAGACTGAAAACATAGTTAAAGAGGTAGCTAATGTTAATGAAACTGAAGATGTCATTGAAAAACTGATTGAAGAAGTTGTGAATGGTAAAGGAGATATTGTAAGTAACTTGAATAAGACTAAGGTTGGAGGCACAAACGTTGATGTTAATGAGGTTGAGGTTATGAGGGAGGGTGAGGAAGGGGATAATAATGTTGATGTTAATGGAGCTGAGGATATGAGTGAGGGTGAGGCAGGAGATAATACTGTTGAGATTAATGGGGTTGAGGATATGAGTGAGGGTGAGGTAGGAGATAATAATAGTGAGATTAAGGCTGAGGATATGAGTGAGGGTGAGGTAGAAGATAGTAATGTTGAGCTTAATGTGGCTAAGGATATGAGTGATAGTGATGATGGAGCTTCTAATATGACAGTGCCTTAGATGTTGTCTTTCAAGAATTAGGTGAAGACAGTGATGGTTTAATGGAAGATGATACTACAAATCTGTTGGATTATGATAAAGAGACAGTAAGTAAAGGTAAAGGGAAAAAAACATAGTGAGCAAGGTGAAGGTGCTAGCAAAAAAGGTAGTGAGGAAGGTGAAGATGAGGGTGTACGTGATAGTGAGGAATTGGAGAGTGAGTGTAAAACTGATGATGAAAGTAACTGTCATAAGAAGAAGTATCCTACTTTCAAAATGGCCAAGAACATGTCAGACTACAAATGGGAATTAAGAACCTATTTTGCAACAAATAATGATTTTAAAGAGGTAATTACTTTATATGTTGTTCAGTCAAGAAGGGATTTGAGGTTCTCCAAAAATGATAAACAAAGGGTGAGGGTGATATGTAATAAAGGGTGTGAATGGAATGCTTACTGTGGCAAGTTACCAAATGAAGATTCTTGGCAATTGAGGAAATTGGTGGATAAACATAATTGTAGTAGATCATATAATGTGAAGCTCATGAGTTCAAAGTGGTTAGGTAAAAGAATTCAAAACTTTTTGAAAGATAATCCAAATTTGAAAACCAAGGACATCAAGAAAAAATCCCAAAGGAAATGGAATGTTAGTGTAAACAAGACTAAGGCTGTTAGGGCTAGATGTTCAACAAGAGGTTTGATTTATGGGTCATTTATAGAACAATATATACGAATTTATGACTATGCACATGAGATCCTTAAAACAAATCCTGGATCAACTGTCAAGATTAATGTTCAACCTGCAAATCCTGGTCCAGACAATGCAACTGACAATAGGCCTCACTTCCAAAGGATCTACATCTGTTACAAGGCTTGCAAAGAGAGTTTCAAATTATGTAGACCCATAATTGGGCTTGATGACTGTTTTATGAAGGGCATATGTGGATGACAAATATTGGCAGCCATAGGAAGAGATCCAAACGACCAAATGATGCCAATAGCCTTTGTAATTGTTGAAGGTGAAACAAAGGACAATTGGTCACGGTTTCTAGATCTATTGATTGATTATCTTGGAGGTAGAAGTCAATGTTGTACATATACTTTCATATCAGACCAATAAAAGGTACTGAATTTGTGATACTGAATCTCTTGTATTTATCTTGTATTCATTTTGTGCATGATTATAATCTCTTGTGTTTATTTCTTAGGGTCTCTTGCCATCTACAAATGAGCTCTTATCGGGTGTGGAATAGAGGTTTTGCGTACGCCATTTCTACAACAATTTTAGGGAGAGATTTCCTAGAAATAAGCTGAAAGAGATTATATGGAAAGTTATTAAGTCAACATATCCATAATCTTGGGAAAGAGAAATGAGAGTTGTTAATAAGGAAGCGTTCAAGCACATGATGAAAACACCTCCTAGGTTTTGGAGCAAATCTCAATTCAAGACATCCTCTAAGTGTGATAGTGTGTTGAACAACATGACAGAGGCCTTCAATAGTGTTATTATTGAAGCAAGAGCTAAGCCTATAATGGCAATGCTTAAAGATATCTATACATACTTAATGGAAAGGTAGGCAAAAAATAGTGAGATTTGCAAACCTTACTAATGATGACATCTTGCCCAACATAAACTGCTATGTATTAGTATTGGCATTTGTTTTCATAAACTGCTATGTTTTGAGATTTGGCTATGTTTTGATAAACTGCTATGTTTTTGGCTATTAGGATTGCAAGGATTAATGATAAACCAACATGTGGATTGTTAGGTATACTCATAATGTTATGTTTTGTTTACTCATAATGTCATGACTGCTGAGATTATGTATTGTTTTCCAAAATGGAAGCTAAACATATCTTTGAGGTTAGACACCTTGAAAATGTTGGAGATAAGTTCAGTTCCAACTTACAAGATCTAAGTTGTACATGTAGGAAATGACAGTTGACATCTTTACCATGTGTGCATGCAATTGCTTCCATGAAAAGCATAAACTTCGAGGTAGAAAGTTACATACTAGATTTGTACAAAAAAGGAAAATATCAGGAGGTATACAACCATGTCATCTATCCTGTTAATGGTTCTAACATCTGGAAAAGGACCGACTATAGTGATGTGCAACCACCAATTTTTAGATAAATGCCAGGAAGGCCAAAAAAAAAAGGAATTTGGACCAAGGTAAATTTGATGGCTCTAATCGAAAATTAAGGAGGAATGGACTCCTTATTAAATGCAGTAAGTGCAAAAAAAATGGTCATAGCAAGCTTACTTGCAAGCATCCACCAACTCAGACACAACCAACTGTTGCTCAGACACATCCAACTCAGGCACAGACACAACCAACTCAGGCTCAGACACAACACTCACAGGCTCAGACACAATAGTCTGCCACTCAAACACAACCAACTGCTGCTTAGATACAACAATCTTAGGCTAAAACTCACCCCAGGCTAGAGAAATTGGTTCCAAGACTCTATTCAAGAAGTTACCCATTAGAAGGCCAACTAGAAGTGTCGGATCACCAGACCCTACAACTAAGTTAACTGCATCAAAGAATGTGGCAGACGCTACAACTAGGCTCACTTCATCTTAAGCGAGCAAGAAGAAAAAATTGATACAATGTGTTGTCTTAGGTCTATGTTTTGTACTATTTTTTGCTGTTATGTTTTGGTACAATGGTACATGTTTTAGGCTTATATTGGTACTATGTTGTAAGCCTTATATGAGAATTTTGTTCTGACTATTGGTACTATGTTGTAAGCCTTATATGGGAATTTTGTTCTGACTATTGGTATTATGTTGTAAGCCTTATATGGGAATTTTGTTCTGACTATTGGTACTATGATACATGTTTTTCTACTATGTTATAAGCCTTATATGGAAATTCTGTTATGACATATTGGTACTATAATGAAAGACATATTTTGCTTATATTCTGTTGTGTTTTATTCGTACTATATTGGAAGACATATTTTACAAATATTCTGTTATGTTTTGGTACAAATTATACCAGTTAGGTGATAGACAAATTATAGCATTTCACAACTCCATTTTGACAGACACATTATACCATTATAAACAACATACCATGCAATAAACAACATTGCACAATTCCATTTCATTGATCTCATAATTTAATTAATCGCATAAAATAATAATTTAGAAATACAACTCATTCATCCCATAGAACGACCTTTGGAGAAGTACAATTACATTAATAAATTGTATATTAATACACTAAATACAACAAAAAAACGAATTTCTCCAAAATGTTTTCCACTTCATTGTGTTATTGATAACCCCCTTAAGTTCTTCAACTAATACTTCGGATTTAATCAATTTTGTTGTAATTCTTCATTCTCTTTTTCTAAGCATTCCAACCTGTTTTTTTTATTCTTGATAAACATGTCCCTGTCATCTTTTACTTTAACACAAGACCAATTAAAATAATCAAATCCATTACTTGTATTCCCATGCACATGTTACATACAACATTACTTACTGTGTAAATTCACAAATGCAACCTTAACAAGATAGATCGTACCTTATAATGTGGACAT